TTATTACAACAAATGAAGTGTGTGTATTTGTGTGTGTGTGTGTGTGTGTGTGTGTGTGTGTGTGTGTGTGTGTGTGCACGCGCGCTAAATAAAGTTCACTTCTGCAACAGTTTTTGTTTTCTTTCCCAGAGCCTTCTGTAATTCCCCAAACTGGGTCTGAAAAGTTTATGTATTTTTTGGAATAATATGGGATGGAGCACTTAAGCTTCTCAGACATTCACAGAGAATTGTACTGCTGAAACAGAGAATATTTGTAGCGCAGGGTTGAAATGAGGAGTCCTCAGTATTTCTTGCAGATATTTCATTAATCAAACTAGGGTTGAAATAAGGGGTTCTTGGTATTCTCTGACCTCAGTTGTTTTCAAACTAGGTAACATCTTTAATTGCCAGTAAGGAGTGTGACAACTCTTGACAGGTAGGATGTTGTCTGCTACCTGTCAACGACTTCTTCAGCTTCAACCTCAATAATATATAGGCAAACAATCGATACAAACTCAAGGTAAACCTCTCCAAACTCTATTGCAGAAAATACGACTTCAGCAACAGTGGTCAGTGCCTGGAATGCCCTACCAGACTCTGTTGTTACAGCCTCAAACCCTCACAGCTTCAACTGTCTACCAACTGTCTACCTTAGACTGTCTACCATGGACCTCACCCATTCCTAAGAGGTCCGTAAAGGGAGGGGTGGGTGCCTAAGTGTACCAGCGTGCCTACTGTCCCTGTCCTACTGTCCCCATTTATTTGAATTCATTACCTTTGTTCATACTTATACCTGCTATCTTGTACATACTAATAAACAAACAAACAAACAAACAAACAAATGTTAGCTAGTTTGGTAATGAAATGTACAAGAAAACAACCAAGTCTAAAGAACACCAATAACCCCTCAGTCATGTTCTTTTAAGGTTCCAGCCATAAAATCACAATATTTTTTTTAAAAAAACAAGGAAGACAAAAATGAAAACCAAAGAAATATCCATTTATTATCTTTTCCCAAGAGATTAGTTTCAGATTATTAAAAGCTGGTTTCTGAGAAAAAGTGTAAAAAAAATGAGGCATCTTTGAATTATAATTCTGGAGAAAAATACTGATAAACTGTGAGAAAAAACTAATCAATCCCAGACCAAATGCTATGAAGACTGTTCTCTTGAGTTGATAAGCAATAAGTAGAAACCACATACTTTAACATGCGATGTGAGTGGATAATTGCTCAAAAAAATATTATGCGTGGCAATGCTGACATAAGGAGAAGGAAGAGATAGCTGAAAAGGTTTGTGGATGGGATTAAAGAAATTACAAGGGTGTCTTTGGAAGTTATTACTAGATACAAGTCAAGACAGAGAGCATTTATCCAGTAAATTACTTGATGGCAAAAGACATCTGAACTTTGCTTTTAGCTGGTTCTCTCCCCACTTTCCAATTGGCTGAAAGAACACAAAGGCTATAGGAAGTACTGGAAATTTGACTCAATGAGACTTTTTGTGATTTTATTGCTTACCCAAGGTTTTTTCTAGATCCAAGCCTATGACTATGATCCTATGAATGGGGCTTCCCTTGAAGAATATATAGAAGTTTCAACTAATACAAAATGCAGTGGTGTGCACAGTTGTGTATGTTATTAGAAAAGTACACTTTTATGTTCTGTAAGCTACATTGGTTGCCAGTTTGCTTCCAGTCCAATTTACAATGTTGGTTTTAACCTTTAAAGCCCTTCATGGTTTGGATTATCTGATGGACTGCTTCTTCAAATTTATACCTGCCCAATCTATTAGGTCTGATAGAAGGCATATTGCAGGTTACATCCTCAAGGGACTTACGCTTGGCGAGCCTTCTCTTTGTCAATAGGACTGGGGTCTCAGGAAACGAGTGAAATCTTATGATAGCTCCATCATTGTGGGTGATTCACTTTCTCCTGTGCAGTGTTTTTTTTAATGATGACTGTTTTATACTTTTAATAATGATTGTTTTTATGTATTTGTTTTAACTAATTGTTGTACATATCCCAGAGTCATTCTTGTGGGGTGGACAGCCATATAAATGAGATAGCTAGCGATAGATAGATAGATAGATAGATAGATAGATAGATAGATAGATAGATAGATAGATAGATAGATAGATAGATAGA